CGCCGCCCCGGCCGGAGCCGGCAGCCGCGGCCGCAGTCGCTGCAGCCGAAGCCGGATCTCCCTGGTCGTCGAGTCCCGTCGGTATGACTGGCAGCCCGCAGCAGCAGGATGTGAAAAACTCCAGCAGAGACGATCTCCACACGGGCACCGCGCTGCATCACAGACTCCCGCACTTAGCTTCCCACCAGACTCACGCCAGTGCTTGGGGGAGTGCGAGTGCCCCACACATTAACTCCATATCCGGGGGGCAGCAGCAGCAGCAGCAGCAGCCCCTCATTTATTCTCAGCCCGGAGGCTTCACTGTGAACGGGATGCTGAGCCCCGAGAGCCACAGCCTCGTGCACCCGGGCTTGGTGAGGGGGGACACCCCGGATCTGGACCACGGCAACCATCATCACCACCATCACCACCAGCATCCGCATCACCAGCAGCACGGCGTCAACAGTCACGACCCGCACTCGGACGACGACACGCCGACCTCGGACGACCTGGAACAGTTTGCAAAGCAGTTCAAGCAGCGCCGGATCAAACTGGGCTTCACGCAGGCGGACGTCGGCTTGGCTTTGGGCACCCTATATGGGAACGTTTTCTCCCAGACGACCATCTGCAGATTCGAGGCTCTGCAGCTCAGCTTCAAAAACATGTGCAAGCTCAAGCCTTTGTTGAACAAGTGGCTGGAGGAGGCTGACTCGTCCACCGGCAGCCCCACCAGTATCGACAAGATCGCCGCGCAAGGGAGGAAGCGAAAGAAGCGCACGTCCATAGAGGTGAGCGTGAAGGGGGCTCTGGAGAGCCACTTCCTTAAGTGCCCCAAGCCGTCGGCCCAGGAGATCAGCAGTCTGGCGGACAACTTGCAGCTGGAGAAGGAGGTGGTTAGAGTGTGGTTTTGCAATAGGAGGCAGAAGGAGAAACGGATGACGCCCCCAGGAGTGGCACAGACGCCGGAGGATGTATACTCTCAGGTCGGCAATGTGAGTGCAGAAACACCACCCCCCTCCATGGACTGCAAAAGAATGTTCAGTGAGACGTAGAACAGCACATCAGAATATTTTGTATGAAATTAGACTGATTAAAAGCACACAGACTATCTTCAGACATTTTATACTGTGAGGGAATGTGAATAAAACGGCAACATTTGAAATCTATTTTTCACCACAAAGAGACAATAAAAAAAACAGCAACATTTCTCCCTTTTCTCCCACAACCCCCCACAGAAAACGCACCGTTTACCAGGCCCTGAAATGTCTTAACCTAAAAGGTTCCTTCTGCTTTTTTCTTTCAGGGTCATTTTTTAGTAGATTACTTAAAAGATGCAAGTGAACCGAGCGACCAGAGGGTGACAACAACAAGTTCATTCCACCAGGTAATTTTGGCGCATTGAAACACACGGAGCCGAACCCCGGTTTAGTTTTTACTATCCCTATTTTCCCTATTTCCCTTTGCGAAATTATTTCCCCCAAATATGACCCTGTGTGACTTGAAGAAAAAGGGAGAAGTCATCCTAGGACTGAATTGACCTTCTTTCGCCTTCATGCCCCACAATAACTGAACCAAAATAACTGCACCTAAATGGAGAGTGACATCCTCGGAGATTCCGTCATCATTTTACAACTATTTGCATTTTTTTCCCCCTCGAGATGGATTGCATTGTGTTTGTTTTTTTCCCCCAAAACATGGATAATTAGAGATTCGAGGCCCTCATAACAGAACACCACCAGGACCAGGACTGTGATCTCAAAGATGACTTTCTATTTTTCGTTGTCCTTTGTTTATTATTATTATTATTATTATTATTATTATTATTATTATTATTATTATTATTTAAAGGACTTCTGAGGGGTGAGTGTTTTCTCCTAACAAATAGAACGAAAGACTTTTTTTAAAAAATGAAGAAAAAAAATCAGCTGCACTTATTTCAAAAAAATGTTTGTTGCCAAGTGTGATTGAGTGGGTGCTGTGGATACACTATTAATGCTGCCCTTTCTAAGCAGTATTCTTTGGTAGGTTTTTAATAATGAAATCAGTAATATCCGCAATATCCTACACGAGATCAAATGCTGGTCTGGGTAGATTACTTTATATCTTTTATCAGAATTACTTGTTTTGATATGCTGTTGGACATAGGTATGAATTATTCCAAACGGTTATTTATTTCCGCCTAAGGAATAGTGTAAGATGCTTTCCCTTCTCCTGTTTTATTTTTTTCTCTTCTACGTGTTTTGTTATTGCCCTTTGGGGTTTAATTTTGTATTATAGTTTCTAAAGAAGCACAAATCACCCTGAGCTGACAGTGACCGTTGTTAGGTAATAAAGCTATATTTTGATGTGATGATTTTGATTGTAATTTAATTTCAGTAGTGTTTTCCCACGAGCTAATTGAGACAATAAATTTGTTAGAATGAAATACATTCAACGTGTGTTACGATTTTCATTTGCAGAAGTAAATTTAGTTTATATTGCCTAAACAATTACTGATCGGTAGATACGTCACGTTCTCGTGTAAATAGGCGTAACAAAGAAAATCCAAGAATAGCGAGATTTATTACGCAAATTAAATTGTTGTAAAATATTTTAAAATGTATATTGCAGTACGAAATGCAGGGAAATAAAATAAAAAACAACAACATTTGAAAGACGTCGAAAATACAAGTAAAACAATAACAAGAGTTGAAAAAAAACCCCTCGAGGACCGAAGTTACCAACTCAGCAAAGAAGAATGTGTCCCCTCGTTTGTAATGATGAAGCCATAAATGTATATTAGTATTTAAATGGAGCGTGTCGGACAGTTGCAGACCTCCACAGTTCTCTCTGTTTGTTTACACGTGCTGCCTCCTCAGGCCTCGGAGCTGAGGCAGCGTCGACAACATGCTGCAGACAGGGCATCGTCTGTGTGTGCGTCTGTGTGTGTGTGTGTGCGTGTGTTTGGTATAATGTAGGTTGATGTGTGGGGATTTAAGGCTGCAGGGACGTCTTAAAGCAAAGGGACGCGTCCATATCGTGAGGGTTCAGTAACGTAGCCCACGACGCATGGCTGTGTTATGTAACAGTTCATAGAACAAGGAATGAATTAAAAACACACACCGAGCAACGATTTAATTTAACAAACTACATCAATAAATTGTATGTCTGGTTTGACTTCAACACAATGAAGCCAAACGTGGAAAAGTACCGGTCTGAGCTGTGGCAGCACCGCATGCAGGTGCGTCTTCCAGGTGTCCATAACTGAAGACAGAGGGCGGTGGTGGGTCACTGACCGTGTCTGTGGCAGTGTCGAGTTCGGCTGGTCTCACCACTGCCACAGACACTTCTGTTTACGATTTTTACGGCTGGAAAAAAAATGTAAACAGAATTTGAATGGAGCCTGTGAGTCCTGCCGTGGTCTGTGTTAAGAATGGCTGCAATAAATAAATGACAGTTTACCCTGAGAACCAGTGAACCGTTAAACCGTGAAATGAAACTGAATTATTTTTACTAATGCGTGCATGCCTACAATGTGGCTCTGTGGTGGTAAAATGTAACATATCTGTGTGTGTATATATATATATATATATATATATATATATATATACACACACAAAATATGGTTAGTAGTATTTTCCTACTTTCTTTTCGCCCATTCAGCAAAACATGAAACGCGCCTCCGCGCGGCAGGATTTAAAATTCGCGCATGATTTTCCATAATAGTTGCTTAGCAACGCAATTCTATTACGTTGCAACGTTTTTCTTTGTGTCGGTTAGTCAAAGTGGCAGCGTGGACGCGCTGGGCCAATCAAAAAGTTCACAGTTTTGCGTACATTAAAATTTCAGTGTCAACAAAATAAACAATATTTTAAATACGGGATTATTATTATTATTATTATTAACATTATTATTTTAAATCAAAAGCAGCAAGATCAAGTGTGCGTACATGTATCTATAATATATTCAGGTCTTCAGAGTAGATATTGTATTGGTATTGATTCGCAGTGCTCGTTGTCTCACCACTCTGCCCTTTAAAACAAGGTGTTTGTCAACCACTACCTACGTAATGATGACTATGATAAAGACGTCATAGTCTGATGATGCACTCAGGGAGTACACACTGCGAGTATATGTGGGTTCAACTTCAGTAATAATCTGTTGCTTCAGTAGTACTCTGACACGGTGTACTTGTAGCTCAGTGTGAATCCAAATGTCCACAGACGCCGTCAGTGTTACACTCGTGGTGTTGTTGTGGTTTAAACGTAGAGTAACGCCTTATTGTTGGCTGCTTTTAAAGTTGCAGATGTGACCAGATGACGTTAAATATGTCAGCAGAGCTCTTTGGGATGGGAGAGAGTTCGACACCCAAACTGCTGCGCACACACATGACAAAATCCACGGCTCTGCCCGCGCATGTGTGTGCGTGTTTATTTTCCCAGTCGAGCGCATGAATATGGATCATCCTGAGTACGCTGCTCTCCACAGTGAGACATAGAACATCTCCTCACGGATTAGGACAAAAATAGAAAAAAAAAAAAGAAGTCCCGGTGAGTCGGGACGTGGCTGTAGTGAGTCTTCATTCATTTGTTCAAAGTGAAGGTTATGTCAGATTTTCTCTCTTTCTCTTTCTCTCTTTATATTTGAAGAAATACAAGAGCTTTTAGCTTTTTAAAAAATATATTCAAATATGTCCTGACCTGTGTTTGTTTACCTCTCTAATTAGTAAGTAATTGTTTACTGGACAGACAGACAGAGAGTTCAGTCACACACACGTAGGTGTGAAGTGTACTATAGCTTCTTCTCTACACTGATATAATATATATATGTAAATATATAAATATTTGAATGTGTATATACTTTATATCGAGCGTCCATTTGCGCCAGTGTACCCGATGTAAGAAAGAAATATATATATATATATATATACAATATAAGATATTTGTATAAATAGACATATATTCCAATATATATTTCTTCTTTTTTTACAAGTAATCTTAAATTGTGTGTGCTTTGTGTCTTCATATTTTTGTTTTTGTCTCAATTAGCTGATTAAATCTTATTTGGTGAAATAGTGTGAAACGTTCAATATAAAATATCAATTACAGTTAAAGACTAAAAATGTTCCCGAACAACTTTCTAGTTATCTTTTGTTTCATGTATTTGTCTTATAAACCTTTCACCGGAACTTTTAAATAAATCAACCCAATTCATTCACACTTACCAACCTGTACTGTAGGAGACGAGACAAATCAAATCCATGTGTTGGACAGTGAGGACATATCTGGCTGATGTATCATCTATGTGGGAGTAGATGCTGTACACAGTGGTCTTGGTCTTTGCATGTTGTTATGACCAGCTTTTTCATGCTTTTGTTGATATAAAGTCAGCTGGAAAATGTGACCCACGTGGGAGCCATGCAAATGTGCCACTGTGTGGGTAAAGGGCAAGTGCCCTTATATTTGACCACAGTCAGATATAAGGCTCTCACACAGGTGTGAGGCCCACATTCTTGGTGTTTTTCTGTGTGCCATTTTCTTTTATCTTCACCAACCAATGCGACTCCTTTCCTCTGAAATTCATCTCCATTCACAGAGAACCACAGCTTCAGTCATTAGGAGTCATAGAATCTTATGTCGTCACCCTAATTATTTTGGAGTAATTTCATAGAGTCTATCAATGACTTACAAAAATTTTAATTCAGTACAAATCCTGAAAACTATATCTAAAGTATATACACCTGGATTTTTACTTGTTGTCTGTCCTTTTCTTCATTTTCAAAGTCTTCTGTTCTGAGAAGTTAAAAGACGATATTAGAGGCATCTGTACATAGAGTTCCTTTTAACTACATTGCCCTGTGATGGTGCGTGCAGCCTGTGATAAGAGACCTTCTTGTTTGCTATACAGTCCCTCTACGCTGAGAAATTGAAAACAGCTCCACCCTACATTCAGCCGTGCCGGGGATTTTCAGCGAGAGTTAAGCAGCTCCTGAAGCTGGTCTGCATTTAAAAAGTCGACCAACGTTGATAAAGACCAACGCCTCTTACTGCAAAAGAACCAGTGCCAACAGTTGTTGTTCTCTGGCTTCTGAGTCACTCACACAGGGGGACGGGGTCTGGACCAAGCTGACCAGAGATTCCTAAAACCTAAAAAAGGAGAGCTTCTCTGAGGGTAGTTCAACAGCACTTTTCAACAGAGAGATTCATTGTTAGACATATTTCAGCTTCTATGGACATTTTGTAAATTTTGCAGTTTGCCTTGGCTGTTAGGTTAGTGCGTGTGTCCTTTTCAAGTCAGAGTCCCAGGCGGTGGAGGTGATCTCTGAAGCAGACAGATCAATAGTTGAGGACAGGGACAAGGGTTGGATGGTCCTCAGGGGTCTGCCCCTGACATCTCCTGCTGCAGCTCACCAGGCGGGCCGCCTGCTCTGGTCAGCTATCCCAGCAGGCCATTCTCTCCGGCAGCAGTTACCAAGGTGACAGCATGTCAGTGTAGCCCTACAGTGAGAGTGTGGGGTGGGGGGAGCGGAGGGGCGCGAGGAGGAGCCCTAATGCATCACTAGGTCTGATGGGTTAGTCAATACTACTTAGATCCAGAGGGAGCCAGACTTGCTATGACACACACACACACACACACATACACAAAGGGCTTTTCCACAGAGATAAGATCCACAAACACTCATACATTCAAGCATAAAAATTTACAACAAACAGTCAGTATTTATAATCAGCACACCGGTCTGCCATTCAAGATGTATGAGAAAATATCAGAGAAATCCTACTGAAATTTATAATTCATTTTCTAGTAGCCCAACAAACAAAAACTAGTAAAAATGACCATAAATTTGTATGATACTTCAACCTCTGCATGAGTTCATCCATGTGTTGCATCAGAGACTCTTAGTTGGAGAAAAAAAAAAGTGAAAATAGAATGGATTTTTGCTATACTAGCAATAGAGCCTTCTCTACACTGATATAAAATAAATTGTAAAATATATACAGCTTTATCGATATGCAATATACCGCAGTGTGCACTAAAAAGCAACTTTTAAACTTAGGACTTTTATTTATTTATCTAATAAAATAAAGGGGCTTGCACTGCAATAAATAAATGCATTAAAATACAGTTACAATTATTATTATTATTATTATTAAATGAGGCTCTAAAGTAAACATTTATAGAGGTCTTTGTTATATTTATTGTACTTTACTTAACACAGTTGTAAAGCCCTGTTCTACTCATTGAGTGTATTGGTACAACATGGACGTTGGCTGCTCCTCCACAAAGCTGTACATTCCCAAAAACAACTGTGTTAAAAAATGACAACTTAGAAAATATTAATAATCATTTATTATTCTTGCCTTTTCAATAAACTTTTTCTTTTGTAGGATGTGATGTGTTGTGTTTCGCCCTGGTTTAAAAATAGTCTCC